CTCTCTCTCTCTCTCTCCCCACCCCTAATCCACGGTTTATACGTTTATCGTCAGTCAGCTTTTGTTCGTCTGTGACAACAACTAGAAGGCAACAGATATGACAAAAGTCATCATGTAGTCATTTAGCATCGTGTCACTTTTAACACGCCGTGTCCGTCAATGGAGCCAGGTCTCCTGTGCGACTCAGTACACCGTTCGTCGTTACCTGCGTTACCTGCGTCACTAAGCTGTCACTTATGTCTGTGATGGCTGTACTTATCGCTTCACCTGTCTGTCTCATCTCTTTTCTTATCTTTGTGGGTGGTTGGAGGGTGTTCTGGTATGATCTCCTCGTCCTTCGCTTCTATCAAACATCTAATCTTTTGTCCTTATCTCTGTTCTTTTTGGGGGTTTTTGTTTGTTATTCTCTTGTAACACCCTATAACCTTTGGCACTTGTATGACTTAATTGTGTTGTAGGCGCTGTAATACGTTTACTGAAACAAACAAAACATACTTATCTTTAAGATCACGTGACCTGTCTCCTTGATCTCTTCACCTATTTTCATAGCTGTCAACCAATATGGAAAACCCGTTTTCAATACGTTTTTTGAGGCTCTCAGTTCAGAAGTCTGTTTTCGTATCACAAACTACTTAGGCCCCAGTATGTTAACGAGCATTGCTCCTCACCAACTGTCCGAGGCAGAAGAAAAAAATAAAAACTGTTTAGATCTGATTTGCAAATGATAATGAGAACAACAAAGTCTCATGTCGACTGGAGAGATTTTTTTGCTGCAGGTCCACCCACTTTGAATCGCTCGAATTTGCTGAGTGGAGAGAAGTGTAGATGAAGGGTGTAGAGAAGGTGGGTAGTTGGCGGGTGCTCTGGTGTGGTTTGCTCTTTTTTCCCCTATCAAAATTCTGTCGTTCCATGTCTCCTCCGTCTATTTTTTTTCTTATCTTGTAATACCTCTAATCCCCGGCACTTATATGACCGTACGTATTGTTTTGCAAGTGCTGTATAAATCTCTTATTCAAACCAAACTAAAAATCCACTGCTGGTCTCTCGACCAGTACAAAGACGTAATATCTGGCTTTTATTACTACATTCGTGAAAATTTGAACGTGGAGTTTGTGGTGTAGTATTAAGAGTAAGACTCTTCGATTACTATCGTACGCGGAAGGCATGAGTCCGATTCTCGAGAGGGGTAATTGTTTTATCAAGTGTTTCCATCTTTCTGTCATGATGTTGAATCTTACTCAGCCCGACTAGGTCCCGACAGGCCAGATTATCCCTAAATGATCTAAATTGTTTCTATTAGGGGGGGG